AACTAACTAACTAACTATTCTAACTATTCTAACTAATACTTTGGTCCACATTTGCTACTTTTAGACTCAATTATCGACTTATTACTATTTATTCTGCGATATCGTATATTTTCAGGTAACTGTGTTCATAAATCAATAGTAGCTCACTTGAATAGCTTATGTGTACCGGACTCTGTAGCTGTATTTTGTAGATTTCAAGGAAGCTGTCATTGAATTCTCTATATCCTACAATTGCCTTGTCTTTGTATTCAATGTTCATGCACATGTTGTTTAGCATGAAATCATGATTAAGCTTAACTGAATGCATGAATTCACGCGTTGTTAAATGTGAATGTTATTGATGTGTCCTTGCAGCTATAATTCAGATTAGTCGTTGGTATGCTTTCTGATCTTATCAGTGTTGGTTTAGTTCTTCTTATTGCAGGTGCTTTCTTGATGGTTTTGTTTTCTTCATTTTTCCAGGGGCTGTTCCATTTTTGTTTGCCTTTCTCTACTTCTTCCAAATTTGCTTTATTCTGCCTATATGAACATTGTTACCTGGTTTGGCTTACTTTTGTTCCTTGTTTCCTGTTCTCATTAATGCAGGTGATTTATTCTTCTCTTTGGCTAAAGCTAACAAATCGACTTTCATCAACCATTAACATATATTTATTTCCATTTACCATGAAAAACTATCTCTCACATACATTTATTACCTGTTTTTGTACTTTTCTACATAAAATATTTATAATTTTAGGTATATTTCAAGTTTTATATCCATGCATAACAAAGTATCGACCAACCTTGGTGGATGTATACGCAGAGATATTTGTACAACCATAACACTTCAAACCATACATTTATTTCCCACTATCATCACATATTCAACCACTTACCTCCCTAATTTTACTCTTCACCTTTACCCTTTTTCAAGATTTTTCTAAAAACTTAACAACGCACATTAACGCCTTACCAGCATCACTTTAAATCGCTTTTATACACCACACTTACTCATCTTTATAATTGAATACCCTTGATGTTATTTGAAGTATTTATTTCCAATTTTCCTACACTGGCTTTTTATAGGTATTCTCCCAATGGTGTTCTTATTCACTGAATTAGACAAGTTGTGTTTTCAATTTATCTGCACCTGCTTATGCTAATCTGAAAAACCATAGGGCTTTCCCTAGGACTATGCAAAAACAACCCTCTATATCAAATCAGTGCTACAAACTGCTAATGGACCTGGTACCATTTTCCCGCGTGCATTATCATATGCAATACGAAAATAAACATTTACACGCCACGAATCAATATCAGAATTAAATGGTTTAACTTTTTACAGACAGTGTTTTAAATCAACTCTTTTTAAGGAATGGTAAATGCAGCTGTTCTACACGATTGAATAAAATATACTATTTTATCTTTTGCACCATTTAAATCGGTAAAGAGGCTATGTGTGTATGTCGGTGGTATTTCACTATACTACTCCTAAAGGAAGGAATAACAAGTTATTTACTTAAATGCTATATTTGACATTGTTCAGCTTTCAGTGGGTCAAAGCTAACAAGAGAAGAAAAACTATTTTCCTTGAAATGGTATAAGGGGCATTGATAAAAGAAGTAAGGTATACCACTGCNTATTTGACATTGTTCAGCTTTCAGTGGGTCAAAGCTAACAAGAGAAGAAAAACTATTTTCCTTGAAATGGTATAAGGGGCATTGATAAAAGAAGTAAGGTATACCACTGCCCAATCTTTATGCCATGGAAAATATTTACTTACATAGTGTACCTGGTATATATTTTATGTTTTTCATTGTATTTCTAAATGTCACTAGGCTTCATAAATTACCTGATCCATTAACTAACTTTTGCTATGAACATTGTCTGACATCTAAAGGATTGCTAGAAAGTTTAAAAAGTTAGTTAGGAGCGCTATAAACATGTATAGATCATTGAGGGTTCTGCAATAGTGTTAAAAGTTAGTTAATACCTTCTCATACCCTTTGGTAAAGAACCACCACAGTTTACTAGGGTTAAAAAGCAGTAGGTTGGGCTAGTAAATACAAAAAGTTAGTTAGTGCTTAATAGTCTCTCAGGTCAGCTAAGATACCTACTCTCAGGTTAGCTGGTGGGGTAAGAAATACAAGGGTAAAAAGTAAGTGTATAACTAACTTTTTAGCTGAAAGTGTTTACCCTGGTACATAGGGATAAAATATTTGTGTAACTAACTTTTTGCTCCAAATGCACATCAGCCTTCTGCCCAGGGTAAAAATTGTTGCTAAATGTTAGTTAATGCATCAAATGCTATTAGAAAGCAAAGATATTGGTAAATGTTAGTTAGGGTCCTTTTTTTAGACATGAATGGCCAAAAATCGCGATTTGGGACCTGTTTATATAGGGTTTTTAAAAAATGACCCCCTATCTTACTAGTGTGATCAATTGTAATAGCATGGGTTAATAGAAAATGCTATTTTATATCTGTCTGATATTGAAAATCCAATACAATCTTTATGGTTTTACATTGTCACTCAACACTTTTCCTTCAATACAAATATTCAAAGCGTGGAAATATCGTATTTCTATTAAATTTTTGATTCTTTGTTTTTGTA